ATGTGGGATTGCAAGTAAAAGTAACAAAAAGATCAGGTCTTCCGTAAGTTCGTACATAGGCGAATGCGTCTTGTGTGTACTCATTAGAGATGCAACAGAACTCCCTTTCTGTTTCTGCAACTGCGGAAGTTCTGCATGGTTTTTGACATCCGTTTCTGCTTCCGTTTCCGCAAGTTTTATAACGGAAGTTTGAACGGAACTCAGTGACACAGCAGCCATATTAGTAGAGGAGGGGCGGAGGAGGGGGGTGATCATTTCAGCCAATCACAAGTGAGCTGGGCACGTGCTTTCGGCACTGGTACCAACGGGTTTGTTTAGATACGGTTTTAACTTTATTATACGGTGTGACATGAGTGTAAGCGCGTAAGATTTTCTGTTATAGTTTTTTTAGTTAATTAGTAATTTGAGTCGTGTGTGTAATTTAAGTGCAATCATGAAGCCAAAAAAGAGTCCTGTTTGGAACTATTATGTTGAGATTGATGATTTAGCAGCCAAATGTAAATTATGTGACAAAATATACTCGCGAAAAGAACGCACAACTACCGTTTTAAAGAGCCATCTTAAAGCGATACACACCGAAGAGTTTCCAGTTTGAAAAGTTAGTTGAAACTGTAAAACTTTCATCGCAAACTAAAAAACAAATGGTCAGTCAAGGTTTTTCAATTGGTCAATTGCATACCTATTGTATATTGTAAAATGTATGCCATCAAAAACATATCTTGTAAAAAAAAACAAGTCTCGCAACTCAGTTCTACCGTAAAAAGTTGTGAGATCCATGTAATACCAAGTCGGTTAATTTATTCAGTCCCTACTTAAGGGTTCTTCAGTTTTAAGTTATTACGTAATTAGCTAACCTAACAACATTTTATAGTGACCATATCAATGTTAAAAATCTTTTATGTTTTAAATATATAGATTGACTTGGCAATCGCACTAAGCAATCTAGTTTAATATAATATGTATTACTTGTAAGGCATCTCATTTCTTTTTGTAGATAAGATAGTCCTACTTTTTTTCCTTTCCGGTACCTTCTACTTTTTGAATACCAACAACGTACCTATCTACACTATCTATTATACACATACAAGTAGACCAATTCATTCACTGCAAATGTAACTTTGTAAATCTATATATTTATATGGTATTACAAAGTTATTTATGCAGTTGGTGTATCTAGAAAACTGGACCGAAATAAAAAATATTTTAGTTTTCCCTTAATTTATATACTAAACACTAATTGTATTTTAAATTTTAAGCTTCTATGTCTGCTAGAAGTGCCTTAGAGTTTTGATGATCAGTCAGTCAGTGAGTGACAAAATTAAGAAACTGATTAGTTATAATTCTTAAATTACTGGTTCAAATTGAGTGAAATTTGAAATATACCATGTTTATACAATTCCTACTAGGTTACTGAAAATTCAGGATTCTAGTTTTATCCACTACGAAGTTATAGGGGGTCAAAAATTGCCTGAATTTCTTCGAGAACAGTATAGTACGGCCGTGCCGCTTTTTGCTCGACTTGGCGATTCCCATGTTATAGTTAAACCCCGTTTTTAGTTAAAACGTGTTTTTTCCAGTAAAAACTAGTTTTTACTAAATGCCTTTGTTACAACGAAGATTTGTAAAATTAATTAGGCAGCAGCTATGTTAACGTATAGTTTATATTAATTATTTTTTACGTGAAGTTAATATTGCTGAATTGCAAAAAAATATTTTTACTTGTAGTTTATATTAATTATTTTAAAGACACTTTAATGAGTATTTTGGATTCCAAGTTCGTTTACGTCGTATTTTAGTGCTAGGGTTGTACTAAGTTACCTACTCGCTTAACGTAAATGCGGCTGTTTAAAGGGTCTGCCCATGTCAGTGCCAATTTAGCTTTGATGCATACGCAGCATCGCCAGTGAGCAATTATTTAGCGGAGCTGGACTTATATATGAAGGACACTGGAACAGATTGTTTGGTGTAAAAGTAGCCGAACTACTTTTCATAAAATATAACATGCCGCTACTTAATTTTGAATGTTAATTAAAGGTTTTATTTGTAATTTTTTAATAAGTAGTATTTCCATTTCCGCATCCGTTTCTGTTTCCGTTTCTGCAAAAAAAATATTTTTAACATCTGTTTCCGTTTCTGCTTCCGATATGACACTTCCGTCGCATCACTAGTACTCATGTAGGTAGCTGGGACTGTTAACGAATGATGAGGGCAGAATTACCATTTTACCTAAATCTCTGGGGTTTACATTGGCGTCGCTAGAAACTGCATCTTGTAAATGTATATAATTCTTAACGCGCAGCTTTTTTGATTTAAAATTTGTGTGTGTGAAAGTGAATTTTAAGTTTTTTATCGCTCTCTTCCCGGTCCTGCGTGGAAAAATACAGATCCATACATTTGTTATCTTAATTTTGGTAAAAAGACATAATAATCCAGATATTCTGACCTTCTGTGTTCGTTCATCGTACCGTCGTCCGTCTTGTAGAATCACGGTGAATACCTAGCTGAATAACCACCTAGCTGAATTTAATTTTGTAACATATTCGATTTTCCCAAGGGAATGATATGTTTTTCCGCTGAAAAAAGTAGCCTATATCACTCTACAGCCACCGAACTATCCCCATACAAAAAATCATGCCATGCCGACGCTCTGTTGCGACGTGAAAGAAGGACAAACTTTTGAAACATATTCTATTTTCCCACGGGAATGAGGCTGTAGAGTGACATAGGCTACTTTTTCCGCAGAAAAACATCTCATTCCCGTGGGAAAATAGCATATTTCCGACGGGAACGGGAATGAGACGTTTTTCCGCGGAAAAAAGCCTATGTCACTCTACAGCCACCGAACTATCCCCATACCAAAATTCATGCCATGCCGACGCTCTGTTGCGACGTGAAAGAAGGACAAACAATATATTCTATTTTCCCACGGGAGTGAGATGTTTTTCCGCGGAAAAAAGTAACCTATGTCACTCTACAGCCACCGAACTATCCCCATACAAAAAATCATGCCATGCCGACGCTCTGTTGTGACGTGAAAGAAGGACAAACAAACAAACACACTTTCGCATTCATAATATTAGTATGGATTATGCAGGATAAAATTTAAAACATGTAACAAATGGAAATGGGAGGTTTAATTAACTTATTTTAAAAATTAGATTTGTAAAAAGAAAAGTCGTATCAGTTTATCGTCTTAGATGGTGTTAACCAAGTTTTTATTTTAATTATAAGGCTTCATTCACAAAACCGCTATTTAAAAAAAGTTGTTGACTTTTTAAGAGGTATTAAATAAACTATCTGGAAAATATTTAATAAATTAAGAAAATAAAGTAGTTTCACAAAATGTAATAGTTGAACAAAGTGAACTTTAAACAGACAGCTGCTTAAAAATAAAACGTGACTTCTACCTAGGGCTAAGTATTCCCCAGAAAGATATTTTGCTTTAACTTTACATTACTATTCCCCGAAAACTTAACGATATGTGCTAAATATTAAAAGTTTTTAAGTTTATCTGCCTTCATAACGTACTATAATAAAGTGGTATAGTGTAATTGATGGCCGACTTGGCTACACAAAAAAGCGTTAACTGTTTTAAAATTTAGACTACAGAGTAACCCTGACAAGAAATTGTATTGTACATTAGTGATAGATGAAATGAAAATACAACAATTGACTGAAACAGCTTTTTATCAATAGCTTGAAATTGATGTGCAGTTGGATTTTTAGAATAACCACCGTGGTTTCTCATAATAGAAAATAAAATCTCTATGTGGTCTTGACTTACTTTGTGAAGGGGTAAATAAGTTAGTGCAGCATTCAATTAAAATAGGCAAATTATAAACACTGCTATTGTTTTAGGATGATGAGTTCTCCTATAATTCGTAGTACATAGTAATTTATAGATGTAAAGCATGTGTTAGAAGTAATTTAATATGTACAACTGTTGGAGATCCATACAAATAGATAAATAAATTCGGTCTTAATATTAAGTTTTCAAATAAACGTTTTGCACTCTCAATACATACACAAAAGCCAAGAAAACCTGTGCATCGGGGAGATTTTAGAATATTCATGCGTTTAGTCGCGTTATTACGACTAATAATGTTAGTCTCTAAATTCATGAGTACCGATTTAGCTTCCTCTAGCCTGGTAAATGCTTTTTCATAATTCTTTACGATACAAACAGGCATTAAACATGCCTGTTTGTATCCATTGGACCATGTTTTGATTCTGAAATATCGAAAACAGCATTCATTAATTTCAGGAAATCAGCTGTTGAAGTAACCCCTTCGAACATAGGTAATTTCATCACATTTTCGAAAACACCAATGCATCAGCAACACTTCTGCCATTGGGCCGCAAGGCAGACTTTCATGGTTTTTGTTTTGAAATATGGGGGAATTGTGCTTAAGATGACATACTTTTTGTTTTAAGACAAATATTCAAACTAAATGAAGCAATATCAGATTAGAAACTTACGTATATTTATAAATGTTTCTTAATCAACAACATTAATAAAGTTTTAGAACAATCAACGTAACGGAAAATTAAAAAATTAACATTAATCGCACTTAAGTCTACGTGTATAAGATGACATATCAATAGTGTAAGATGACACACTATGTCATCTTAGACTTTATTGGTATGTCGTCTTACACAAGTAACAAAAACCACACCGTAGGTTGTAGCTTAAATATTAAAATTCGGTGCAGTTCAATTTTCGGTGCACATTTCGCAGATAAATTGTTTCCTTTTTGCTGGTATGCCTGCGCAAAGTGTATGACACCAATTGGAACACAGTTGACACTTCACGCAATGTTCTTTCGGCCTAGATGGACTAAATAGTTCATTGCAGTATATGCAAGCTGCATCATCTTCTCCCTTGTCGTCGCTAGCGTAAGGATCTTTGAGGTCCTCGTCATCATCAAAAATAACACGCTGCTTTTGCCTTCGAGTCCTCGTGGACCTTCGTTTTTTAGGCGCGGACTTAGGTTCGACGCTCATTCTTTTCTCGAGATTCTTGTCATCGTCCAAAATGATAGGCTTCGTATTCTTTGCACCTCTATTGACTTTAGATTTTTAACTGCAGGTTTAGACTCTACACTATCATTAAAAATGTTACGCTTGGTTTGCTTTTGTTTTTTAAGGGATGCACGATTTTCGTTTTCTTTTTTCTGTTGTGCTGCTGCTTTTATTTCATTCATAAAAGGACTGGACGTGAAAACTTGCGATCCACCGACTTTTCTGTTTACTCTTAACTTTCCCGTAGAAGTAGCTTTTGGTAGTAGTGAAATTTCTTTCAGTATAGAATTTTTAGCAAAATCATTACTTATTGAAATTAATTCTGGTTGCAAAAGTAAATGTTCAGCTATTTGATTGGTATCCAAGGATGATGCTATATCATTTTCACATAGAGTTTCTGGAACAGCTACATCGTCGTCTATCTGCTCTTGATAGCTATTCTTTGGAGCAATGACATTCATCTGTTCTATCTCTTCTTTGGCATTCTTAGGATCAAAATCTAGCAGCATTGGCTGGAGAGGCAAAAAATTAACATCTTGATCTTGTAATAAATTCATAACAACATTTTCTGACAACTGTTTAAGAGATAGTGGAATATTTTTAGCTTCTTGAGGAATAGCGTCTTTGTTCGAAGCAGCGGTGTCACGTAGAAGCAAATGCGTAACAACATTTGGTGACAAAATTGTAGGAGACCAGTGACGAGTTTCTACTTCTCTTAAAGTAGCATCAGTGTCAAAATTTATATGGTCCTGGGAGTTACCAGTTTCTACATATGCCAGTAATTGTTCTTCTGCGTCAGTTGGTTTTGAGTAATTTAATTCATCCTGATTTTGCTGGGTCTGTAATGAACTAATAGCAATCGGATCGTCACTGTTTAATTCGTTTTCGGTAACTTCGCTAGGTAAATACATATCATCTGGGAAAATGTGTTAGTTGAAGGGATAAATCCCAGTTTTCTCAAAACCGCTTGTTATATTTCTAACGGTAGCTGCGCTTTCGTAAGCTCTTCCAAATATCTGAGCAACTTGGTATAGGCCTACGGTTCTGCCAGGATGGTTCTTCATCCAGATTGCCATCTCGCGGTCATAATACGCTTTCAATGGACCAAAAAATGATACGTCAGTCGGCTGCATTCGGTGAGTGCAATGTGGTGGAAGACAGAGCAATATCACGCCGTTGGCCTTGGCGAATTCAAGTGCCTCCAGATTTTTGTGGCTGGAGTGACCATCTAGCATTAGCAGCACCTTGTTAGTTACAGAAGCATTAACAAAAGCAACAAAGTGGCGCAGCCACCTCACAAATAAGTCACCAATCATATACCCGGAGGGGTTGCACAGTTGTAAAGTACCTGGTGGAGCACCGTCAATATATTCGGCTTTGTGATTTTTTCTAGGAATAATTATTGCGGGTGGAACTGAATTTCCGATGGCATTAATACAAACTACAACTGTGAAATGTTGACCCCGTTCATCACTATTGACAGAACCGACTTGTTTTTTTCCTTTAGTTGCAAAGACTTTTGGAGGCTTTTGAACAGTGGTCAGTCCAGACTCGTCCATATTGTAAATTTTATGCGTTTGAATTTCATTCTCTGTCACTGTTTTTCCAAAAGAGAAAAAAACTTCATTACCTGAGGTTTATTGAAGGCCTTTGCCCTCGCTGCAGACGTCGGCTCTGGAGCTCTGAGTGAGATTTGAGGATTACGTTCTCTGAAACCCTTTAACCAATCCCAGCCAGCTATTTTTTCAGTCTTATCAAATCTGTGATCCAACCCTAATCTTTCAGCAAATTCAAAAGCTAATTTTCTTATTTCGGTTGTATTAAATCCGAATAATCGACTTTCGAACTCGAGCATGTGATCCACTAATGCTTTTTCCATATCTGCATTAAAAGTTGGTTTAAAACGACCAAGATTTACTGGAACACTATAGAAATAACGACGAAGAGTTGCTTGAGGCACATTAAAATGTTTGGATGCTAAGAGCCAACCCATCCTATTTTCATTAACAGCCTTGATGGCCATATTCATGTCTTAACCAACTCTTCCGAGTCGATGTTCTTTTGTAATTGCCAGGCATTCTGTATAGAAATAATAAAAAACAAATTAAATACCTATCTACTAATCCTACTATAAGGGTAAGATGGCATACTATGCCATCTTACACCTACGTCTAGTATGTCATCTTACCAAATGGATCATAATAATTTCATTTAAAAGGCAAAACTTTTTAGGTTAGAATATGTTTTTATCAATATTTGAGCCGTATAATAATTCCCACTTACAATTAAAATAAGTTCAAACAGAAGATTCTTACCTTACGTGTATTTTCACTACCAAACAAAAGCGTTAGCAAAATTTTTTCAAATTAAAAACACGAAAACGTTCACTACTTTGCGATGCGCATTCAATGTCCGCCAAACTACACTTCGGTACTAGCGACATCTATGACGCTCTCCAAAAACGTCACGGGTTCACCTATACCGCCAATAGTTTAAAGAAAACTACTGGTGTGTCATCTTATCTGAGTATGTCATCTTAAGCACAATACGCCTATATGATTTGCTTTCAATTTATTAGCCACATAAAATAATTCTTCGTCCTGTAATTTTTGGAGTTTTTGGATATATGACCACTGAATTTGATTTATGTTTTTAAAAAAACTTCCATAAAGTTGAAATGAATTGCGTACTAAGTAATTTAAGCGTGTGCAAGGATCAAGAAAAAAGTATATTTGTTGCCCTGAAGCTGGACCTAAGATAGTAGATAGTAGTTTGCAGTCGATCTGGGTTCAAAGAGCAGCCCAACTCTTCTGCCATGGCGAGGTTGGTTTTTGTACCATCACATGTCAATGCCTTTAGCAGACGCCTGCTAGCATGGTATTCTGTCAATTGCTTAATTTTTACTTCATCCATGACCAAGGTACAGTAAATTTTTTTATCAGGGCTACTCTCCGCTCTCAATTTTAAAACCCTGGTCGGCCATCGATGGTCCAGGCAAACATGTTTCAAAAGTTTTACGTACATAGCGATAGGCTTTTGGTGAGTAATAATTAAGTGTTAGGGCAAAATATCTTTACTCTGAGGAATATTTAGTTCTCGGCAGTTTTCCAGTCTCACTTTTAATTAATTATCTCCTTAACTCTTAAGTTTTTTCAATTCCTATCTACTCTTACTTTCTTCAATTCCTATATTTTCCAGGACTTGTTTGTTTTCTTTATTTATCAAAGATGTCTCTCTTAGCGAATCTAGTATTTCTTACAAACTTGTTTCTTTAAATACCGTTTCTGCGATTGAAGCCTTTTTATGCTATTGTATTTTATGTCAAGGCATTTTTTAGTTTAATTTTCCTTGGCGTATCTTCTAAGTGTTGGCTCGTACGTAAGTGAAGATTGAAGACAACTAATGGAATTTTCCGGAAAATCCAGCTTACTTTTTTACACCCCATATCAGAAGGCAGTAAGTTATTAACGATTGAGCTAATGCTACATAAATTTTGTTAATGAGTGTATCTGAAGTGACATGTCTAATGTGACAAAATTCCAGGCTAATTTTCTAAGTCTACATTTATTACATCGATATGTTCATACCAAGTTAAATGTTCATCTATAATGATCCCCAAGTACTTGGTTGAAGAAACTTTCGTACTGACAGAACAGTTACAATTTTGAACTTCGTCAATATTGCAAGTGTGAATCTTTATGTTAAAGTTATTTCCTGGTTGAGCTCGGTTTTTAATAGTAAAAGAAATATAATTAGTTTTAAGTGCATTAAACGTTAGAAAATTAGATTGAATTTTAATAGGGCCAGATTCTGTATTTTTACGAATCTCATCCCATGTTGATCCAGTAAAAACTACAGCGGTGTCATCGGCATATGTGAACACACGGGCACCATTCATTTTCAGATTACAAAGATCATTGATATAAATTAGATACAATAAAAGTAAAGTTACAACCTATATTCGTCCCACTGCTGGGCAAAGGCCTCCGCTCAATTTTGAGAGGATTTTAGGGCAAGGAATTCAGCCGTCGAAATATTTTTTTTCTTATTTCTCAGACGTGCAGGTTTCCTTACGATGTTTTGATACACCGCGATGCGATTGCGATGTTTTGAAAACTGCTACAATATAAGAAGGTAAATTTTGACACTGTGTTAATCATCGTAATAGCTCAAGTGGATATCGAGCGGTCGCGAAATCGTAATGCCTTGGTTCGCATCTCGCTTCGGTCCGACTTTTTTTTCCTTTTTTTCAAGTTCCCTTCTTTTGTGAGAAAACCTATTATTTTGAGACCTTTTTTTAGTATTTTTTAAAAATACCAAAAAATTAATTAAACTAATTACACTCATGATTTTTATTCAAATAACCAGTTCAGTTTTTTCTATTATGTCAATAAGATCAAAAAATATTATTCATGTAATTTTTATCTAAATATAATTTAAAAAAAAACCGAGGAAAGCTCGGTCATCCGGGTACTCAGCACTTAAAATTGCAATTATCAATTTCATTGGTGCCGGCGGTGAAGTTTACAGCGAGCGCTAACCATCTGAGCTACCACGGCCCTTCTCAATTAGAAACAATGTTGGGCCTAAAATACTATATTGTTGTACGCCGTAAGTGGTATATGTGTCCTCACTAATAAACTGACCTATTTTAACTTTTTGTGTACGGTTAAATAATTTTAAGGTTTTTTATTATTCTTAAACAATGAAGGTTGTGTCTCTGATGCCGATCTTTTCTAATTTTTATAAAAAGATGGGGACAGAGATAGCGTCAAAGGCCTTTTTAAGATCTAGAAAAACTGCAAGACATTTTTTACAACAAAAAAAAATATTTTTATTGTAATGGATTTCCGCAAGGTAACGCCTGATTCTATCAATTATCTGGTCTAAGTTTATTTTTTATAGAAGAGGGGGCAAACGAGCATGCGGCTCACCTGATGTTAAGTGACTACCGCCGCCCATGATCAACCGCAACACCAGGGGAATTGCAGGTGCGTTGCCGGCCCTTTAGAAAGGAATAAGCTCTTTTCTTGAAGGTCCCCAGGTCGTATAGGTCCGGAAAAATCGCCGGTGGTAAACTATTCCACAGAGAGGTCGTACGCGGAAGAAAACTCCTTTTGAAACGTACAGTGGTGGATCGCCAAGCATCCAGATGGTGTGTGTCGGGACGTTTGCCGCGTAGTGCGTTCACGAAATTTGGCGGCTGGGATTAATCCGAACAATTCCTCAGAGTACTCCCCATGGTATATGCGAAAGAAAATGCAAAGAGATGCAACATCTCTTCGCAGCGCCAGTGAATCGAGCCGATCGGAAAGCACTCGGTCGTCGACGATTCAAGCCGCTCTGCGCTGGATGCGGTCAAATGGAAGGAGCTGGTACTGGGGAGCCCCAGCCCAGAGATGAGAACAGTATTCCATGTGCGGCCGAACCTGCGCCTTGTAAAGTTGCAGGCGGTGTGCCGGCATGAAATATTATTCCGCTCTGCTGAGCACGCCAAGCTTTTTAGAGGGCAATTTGGCTTGTGCCAAGTGACCACGAAACTGCACGTCACTCGATATGTCGACGCCGAGGATTCCGATACTGGCTGAGGCAACAAGGGGAGTGCCTTGAAACTGAGGAGATACGACTAAGGGGTTCTTTTTAGCGGTTAACGCGCAAGCTTGTGTCTTCTGGGGGTTAAACTGGACTACTCTGTTCAGCAAAGACTCGATTTCAGAAACAAGTTTGTTCCGGTACTCGGAGACGTTTTCCCGAGAAATTTTGGCTCGGCCGGTGTAAAGAGCATCACCAGTGCTGTCATCTGCATTGCAATGAATGTTACGGGTTTGCAACATATCATTGATATTGTGACGGCCCAATATTATTATTAATAATTAAATTCGATATAAAGGGGCATCAAAAATAGTCTTAAAATATATATATATATATATATTAAGCAATAAAATTACATTAATAAGCATAAAGTTAATAAAAATACATTTCAGACATTAGACCAACAACATAGTAAATTAAAGGCAAAAATATTGTCTTTCATAATAAATAAATTTATTATAAAAACTTGTAAAAATATTTAAAACATGATAAACAATAGAAATACAAGTCGAAAATATTATAAAAATAAAGATAAATAACGTTTATAAGATAATTAGAAAATTTGTTAAAATATTGTGACTAAGTTGTGGAAGGAGTTCATGTATAAAAGAAAATTTTCCTAAGTTTATGGAAGGTGTTCATGTATATATGTCTTGTATGGAGGAGCTGCCGGAGATACATACCTGCAGTTGTACATAATGCAACAATATATGGGGTGGCCGGGAGCCCGACTGCTTGAAGTACTGTAGCACAATGACTAGTCCTATATTAGAGACTTATGATAATAAACTCAATGATACAAAAGCAATGCTATAGAAGGTCTCTATGATGAATTTGCATTACAGTAGTGGGGTGGTGGGTTGAAGTCCTATATATTAATGACTTATGAAAGTAAGGTCTATGATACAAAAGCATTACTATAGAAGGTCTCTATGTTGAAATAGCATTACAATAGTAGAATCGTGGGTTGAAGTTCTATATAATAATGACTTATGAAAGTAAGGTCTATGATACAAAAGCAACATAGCATAACATAAAAAGGTCTCCTTGAAGCATAAGCATTATATGGGGTGGTCGGGTAACCGACTGCTCTTAGTACTGTAGCAAAATGACTAGTCCTTATTAGGGACTTGAAAAGGAATATTATGGTGGCGTGTATGCTGCTTCACGAGCAATTGGTCTGAGGTAAACTTGGACTCGCTAACCGATGTGTCCTAGGCATATCATCTTAGTGCCGGTGGTAAGCGGGTTTGTTGTAGCAAAACGGCTTTCCCGTGGACATCGCACACCCATACCGTTTGTGTGCGACGTCGTAGCGCATAGCGATGCGTCATCTATCTTTCGGATTGGGAGGAGTGTGTTTGGTAGCATTTTAAGTGTAACCAGCATACTGAACTTCATGTCTCAGTGCATTAGCGCTATGATACGTGG